AGAATAAGGACAAGAATTAGAAGAAACGCAGCCACGGCCATGTCTGTGGTGCACTACCACCCCCTTAAGGGATACTGAGAATCAAGGGAGCTACACTATTCTGGAAACACTGACACTGTATATTAAATGGTTGAGGATTTTGTTCTGCAAACCAAGGGAGGAAGTAACAAAGGAAAACTTCAGGAGAAAGAATACTAAAAACCATTCAAAGGCAGTAGGAAGACATGCAACACAGATGGAAGCAGTGTCCTGGCAGCCTCTTCTTAATGAGGAAATACAACTATTTAATGTCTTTCCTTCTTTGGTCTGTTTCCACGGCTCCACATTCTGAATGCAAAGTGAGTTACTCATAGGATAATGACATTCTTGGTGATGACCCTTGGCTTCAATGTAAAGTCCAAAGTCCCTAACAGTTCTTCATAGACTGATGGAATCTCTCCTATAGCATTATACTTTGCTATGTCCACCATACACAATACATTTGCACTTTCAGCCTTCATCGCATGGTACTTCTTCATGTCACTAACTCCTCATCTTTCCTATCATTTCAGATCATAACACCCAACTTGCTCCCTCATGGCCAATATACACAATGTGACTGAGTTCATTTTTCTGGGACTGTCTCCCAATAAAGAGGTGCAGAGAGTTTGCTTTGTGATATTTCTGCTCTTGTACACAGCCATTGTGCTGGGGAACCTCCTCATGGTAGTCACTGTCGCAGTCAGCAGAAGTCTTGGATCCCCCATGTACTTTTTCCTCAGCTCCCTCTCCTTCGTGGAGATCTGCTACTCCTCTACAACAGCCCCCAAACTCATCTTGGATCTCCTATCTGAGAAGAAATCCATATCTGTATGGGGCTGCTTGACACAGATTTTCTTCATGCATTTCTTTGGTGGCATTGAGATGTTCCTGCTCACAGTGATGGCCTATGACCGCTATGTGGCCATCTGCAAGCCCCTGCACTACCCCAGCATCATGAACCGACAGGTGTGTGTTGTCCTCGTGGGAACAGCATGGATGGGAGGCTTTGTGCATTCCTTTGCCCAGATCCTTCTCATCTTCCGCTTGCCCTTTTGTGGCCCCAATATCATTGACCATTATTTCTGTGATGTGCTTCCTGTACTTAAACTTGCCTGCTCAGACACTTTCCTCAATGGTCTGCTGATTGTTGCCAATGGGGGTACACTGTCTGTGATCAGTTTTGTGGTCCTCTTAGCATCCTATGTGGTCATCTTGTTTCATCTGAGAACTCGGAGTTCTGAGGGACGACGCAAAGCTCTGTCCACCTGTGGGTCCCATGTCACTGTGGTTGTCTTATTCTTTGCACCCTGTGTCTTCATCTATCTGAGACCTTCAGCCACTCTGTCTGTAGACAAGATGGTAGCTGTGTTCTACACAGTAATAACTCCCCTCCTCAATCCTATCATCTATTCCCTGAGAAATGCAGAAGTGAAGAAAGCCATGAAGAATCTATGGATCAGGACAATTAAAGTAGAGGAAAAATAGAGGCTGGGTCTTTGTATGTCATGGGTTAGGAATGATGTTGAATCCCTAATTTGCCCATGGCTGGGCAAAATAAATAGAAAGAAAATTCATAGGGCTTGTTGGTTCTAGAGTTATTCTTTATGATCCATCCTAAATTTTTCATTTTAAGCACTTGTATGGACATACTATAATACACCTAGCCATTTTAGAATGTTTCCAATCTTTACCCCTATAAATAACAATGTGAAAAAATATGCAAAGAGGAATATCCAACTATACCTTTAGCTTTTCCTTGAGATTCACTCACTCACTACAGTGAATTTACTTTATTGAAAAATGTGAAGGCCTTTGTTGCCCTGTGAAATTGAACTGCATGCCCTGTGAAAGTGGTCCTCATAGAATCAAGACATTGTAATTAAGTACAGTGGGGGGAGGGGGATGTGGCTCAGCTGCTACAGTGCATATATTCATAAAGCCTTGGGTTTAATCACCAGCTCCCATAATCTTGGCATGGTGATGCATTCCTGTTATCCCAAGCACCTGGGAGCTGGAAACAGAAGCATCCGGAACTCAAGGTCATCCTTGGTTATGCAGCCAGTTTTAAAACAGCCTGGGGAATATTTCCCTGATTTGTTGCATATATATATATATATATATATATATATATATATATGTATATATATTTTTTTTTATTTGAGATTATAATTTAATTACAATATTTTTCTTCCCCTTTCCTCCCTCTAAACCCTCCTATATATCCCTCCTCACTCTCCTCCAAATTCATGGCCACTTTTTAACATAACAGTGTTTGTGTGTGTGTGTGTGTGTGTGTGTGTGTGTGTGTGTGTATACATATATTTTCCAACTAACCTGTTCAGTCCATATAATGTAACTTGTATGTATGTTTCAGTGCTGATAGTTTGGCACTGGACAACCTATTAGTGTACTCTTTCCTGGGGAGGATCACCTGTCTCACTATCCAATTTCCTCAGTTGCCTATAGTTCTTTATGAAAGAGTGGAGCTCATACATACGTGTGTGTGTGTGTGTGTGTGTGTGTGTGTGTGTGTGTGTGTGTGTGTGTATGTATGTGTGTGTGTGTGTTAAAACTGTCCCAAGGTATCTCCTAAAAATATATTTATTAATTTAGAAGGGAAAATGTACCATTTTCTACCCTCTTTACAATTGTCCAAAGTTAACATACCAGAATTAGATTAATTGATTCCATGTACCTCCTAATAGCCAAGTAGAGAGCCATAGCACCTCCTCAGTGGGAAACTTGGTTTAAATATATCTATAAAACAGCTATCTTTTACTTTTTAGAAATATAAAAACTGAAGAATTCTTCCACAAAAGATCAAGAGTAATTGAGTGTATTATGGGAACTTTTGGGGTTTGATCTTATCTTAGAATAAAAAAGGCACCAGTGCGGCAAAACTTTATAAACAACCTAAGAAAGTTAGTTATACAGATCTGATTTTCTTGTTTTGGTAATTATAATGGGTTTTCCTCCTTGGGTTTAAGAATGTCTCATTAACATGTCCAGATGTAGAAACCTTCATGTCAGCAACTTGCAGACATTTCAGAAATATATTATTTATATTCTAAATATTTAAGTTATACAAAATGTGTATTATATATACGTACACATACACAGTGAAATTATTAGTACAGTGAAGCAAATTAGCATATCCATTATTTCCATGGTTAGCTTATTTTGTTATAAGAATTCCTAAAGTTCACTCTGTGGCAAATTTTCAGAATACAATTGAAAGTTGTTTGGGGATATAGACAGATAGAAAGATAGATAGATGACTGATAGATAGGTAGATAGATGATAGAGATGACAGATTAGATAGATATGGATATAGATATGTGTATAGATGATGTATAGAGATTATACAAGATAGATAGATACATAGATAGAGATAGAGATAGATAGTCCAGACTTGTCTCAGACTTGCAGAAACCCTCTGCTTCAGACTCTCAAAGACTTATATTTCAGGTGTGTGTTCCTACATATAGCTACAATAATTTTAAGTATATTTCTCATGCTGTACATTGCATCTCCAGACTTGTTCATGTTATATAACTGTAAGTTTATACCCTGTGACCTAATGCTTTCCATAACATTGTCTACATATCTATTTACTTATTGAGAAAATAATTTTAAAAATGACAAAATATTCTTAATGGGAAAATTGGATTAAGGGACATAAATTATTTTTTGTACTTTTTCAAGATTGTTTGGGTCAAATCACTTTCCAATAAAAGTTTATATACAGCAGTCTCATTCCTAGACTAGCTATCAGCTGAGTATTTATAATTAATGATAAGTCTCTGTGTGACTTATTATTTGGGAAGTCCGTGGTCCTGATAAAAACCCCTGCCTACAAATAGCTTCCAATGTGGGCCAACATATATCCATATAAAACCTAAAAACACACACACACACACACACACACACACACACAAAACAGAGCCAAATACAGTTTCCTAATCCCATAGTTTCTCATGCAGGCCACAGTAGAGAGAGGCATCTCCTGGTTACAGCCTGCAGACTTGAAGTGTTAGAGTAAGCCCTACCAGTACACCATGAGCTAAGCTATTTGGTGGGTTTAAGTTTTGCTCATACAGACAGAAAAGATTACAGATACACAATATGGGGGGGGGCCTCTAAATGGGTTACTGTGTATTTTTAAATGTTTATAGGCTTGTGAGGGGGAAAGAGAAAGGATTAGACACACATAAAAAATAGTTTAAAAATAATAAAGTCCTTAAACAAAAAATAAAGTAATATAAAGGGAAAAAGTCATGTAAAGATAAAGCATACACAGGGAATCTGGATCCTATATTGTTGTGTTGTCTTTAAATCTTTTTTTTATTGCTGATGTATAAGCAATAGCTGCTAAGAGGCACTGGATTATGGAAGCATCTGGATTAAACAACCCATATGTTTTAAAAATATCCTGACTTCAAAATAGGAATCAAAAGGTATGTTGCTTTGGGGTAGAGATTATGCTTTTGTTCTCACAGAAAGTGAAAGGCTGTGTATTTGTTCAAGGTTGAAGATGATCAGGTTTGATTGGGGAAGACTCTGTCTACAAACATAAAGAAAGAAACTTAGAAAAACTACAAGATATATAAAGTAGATTTTACCAGCTCAAACATAAAACAAAAAATCATCTTTGGCTAACTTGTGTACAGCATACAGTCTACTTGTATTAACCAGCATGTATATTATCTTTAAAAATTTATGTATTTTCAAAGCAAGGGGACCAGACACTGATAAAAACAAATGGCCCAGGCAATTCAGCACCTCTGTTAGTTTCCTCAGAGTTCTGTATCCAGAACAGCTTCAAGGCTGATTACTGAGATGGTCTAGCCTCACAACTACTCCATCCAGGACATGACCATAATCCTGAATTTTCTCAGGATCCTCCAAAGATTCCAGTGGCCCCAGACAACAGAAAGCAGTCTAGAGAAAACAACACTCACATTTCCAAAAGACGAATTATGGATGTTTGTCATTTAAGGAGGGTTGGTTGCAAATTATTATTGGTCACGGTAAAGAAAAAAACTAAGCAATGGAGTTAGATTCAAAGATCTCTTTCTGATGGGAAAAGGGGGACTATAATATAGAAATGAAGAGATAAAAGTATAGTTTATTAAATCTATTTTAATCCTAAAAACAACTATGAATCTTAAATTTTTTACATTGGTATGGATTTTGGTTTATTGATACAAATTTAATGTTATTTTTGTTATACTGCATGTATGTTTCTACTCTTGTTTGAAGTACACTTATGTAACTCATTGAAAATGTAATGTATAATTTAAAAATGCAGTTTAGGGAGACTGTCAGATAAAGCGGCGGGACGGCGGGACGGCGGGACGGCGGGACGGCGGGACGGCGGGGGGCGCCCTGTGCAAGGAATGCCGGATTGCTCACCCTGTTGTGAAGTGCACCTACTGCAGGACTGAGTGCCAGCAGGAGAGTAAAACCAATACAATATGCAAGAAATGTGCTCAGAAGGTGCACGCTGTATGGAACGCCTAAGCCTTGTCAATACAATTGCAGCATTTATTGGCAATAAATGCCAGCGCTGCACGAATTCAGAGAAGTATGGACCTCCATATTCTCGTGAACAGTGTAAGCAGCAGTGTGCATTTGACAGGAAAGATGATCTAAACAAGGTAGATGGGAAGTTGCTGTGTTGGCTGTGCACACTGTCTTACAAGCCTGTCCTTCAGAAGACCAAAAAGCAGAGGAAACATCTGAGCAGCTCTTCTCGAGCCAGCCATCAGGAGAAGGAGCAGTACAGTCGCCTGAGTAGTGGCAGCCATTACAACAGCTTTTCCCCAGATCTGGCTCTGGATTCACCTGGCACTAACCATTTGGTCATCATTGCCCAACTGAAGGAAAAGGTAGCCACTCTGAAGAAGATGCTGCATCAGAAGGATCAAATGGTCTTAGAGAAAGAGAAGATTACAGAGCTGAAGGCTGATTTTCAGTATCAGGAATCTGACACTCGGGCCAAAATGAATCAAACGGAGAAAACCCACAAGGAAGTCACAGAGCAATCGCAGGCCAAAAACCGAGAGCTTATGAAACAGGCAGCTGCTTTGTCCAAGAGCAAGAAGTCTGAGAAGTCGGGCACCATAACATCTCCGTGAGGACCCCGAGAAGGCTCCCAGCAACAACCGCCAGTGCTCCCTGAGTCAGGGATGGCAACCTGGCTGTTCTCTGGGAATTGTGCTTTCTTACAAAATCTCTATTTTCTTACTGTTACCCTTCTTTGTGCAAATGTAGTGGGCCAAATGAAAACACCTGGTCTGTGCCATGTTATGACTGCATGCTGAGTGCTTGGGGTTTCAGACTTGTTCCTCCTCCTCTGCTCCCCTGTGCTCCTCCCTCTCTCTACTTTAGTGCTCCTCCTCCTCTGCTCCCCTGTGCTCCTCCCTCTCTCTACTTTAGTGCTCCTCCTCCTCTGCTCCCCTGTGCTCCTCCCTCTCTCTACTTTAGTGCTCCTCCTCCTCTGCTCCCCTGTGCTCCTCCCTCTCTCTACTTTAGTGCTCCTTCTCCTCTGCTCTCCTGTGCTCCTCCCTCTCTCTACTTTAGTACTCGGTGTTTTCCATCGTGGTCACTGCTCAGTGTTATGTGCAGAGTTTCTGGCCGCCGTCTCATCTGTCATCCACTGTGCATCACACCACTGTCACTGCCACCCTCTGAACCTTGAAAACTGCCACCTGAGACTTTGTGCAGTGAGAGAGGCTTTCTCTCCCCAACAAACCTTTTGCTTCAGGGTATATACTCTTAGGTTTTTTCCCAAGTATGACCTTTGTACTATGTATAGACTGAGTTTTATTTATTTTTTAAAAAGGAAACCTTTTCTTGACTAGTTCTTCTAAAAGCAATGTCTCTTTGGAAAAAAAATGCTGTCCTGTTTGCTAGCTTCTAGTAAGAGAATCCTATCTTTTCTTTCTCGTTACCCTAGAGTCTTGATGCTAAGGTAAATGCTGGAGGTGTAAGTGTGGAGCTAAGTGCCTTTGGAGGACTCTGGAAGAGCAGTGAGGAGATGCTTAAGTGTGCAGAGAATTGATCAGTCTGTCTTTAAGTAAGGGCAGAAAGAATGGTTGTCCAGGTTGTACTGGACACTCCCCCCCCCCATCTATCCCTCCTTCTTTTATGTAATTTTAAATTCCCACACTGCCACTTCTTTTTTAAAAACATCCCTGTTTCTTGCTTGTGTCAGCTGTCATATCAGGCTATTAACAGAACACATTTTTTTTTTAACATGAGCAGATTCAGGTGGAATAAGATTTGAATTACTTGTATGTTTCCAGGACTTGGCATGGGCCTCCCTGAGTGTGCCCTTCTCATCTTGACCCAGTAGGCGGGTAGGAAGGGATAGGTCCATGTGGAGCCTCACTCTTTGATTTTTGTGGAAGAAACTAGAGATGGGTAGTATTGCCATGACACAGAACCAACCCTGGAATCAGTGCAAGTGGTTCCTAGAATTAGAGCCAATCATGAAGACAGGTGACATTTGTACCACATCCACCAGAGTTGGATAGGTGAGGTCACTGTTCCCAGCAGGTGCTCTGTAGTTTGTGACTGTATTGTCAGAAGAGACTCATGCACACAGATGGACAGATACAGACATGAGGGCTCTTTCCGACAGGAGACTGGAAGGGCCATGTATTTATATGTCACCATGAAAGGGGATGCAGTTTTCCCTTCTAAGCAGGGAAAACTGCTGTGCTGAAACATTTTGTAACTTTTTGAAAGAGAAACTTTGAGGTAAAGATAACTATCAATCATGGCCTGTTTATCAGATGCATTTGCACTGGCTGTGGGGGAAAGATGGTAGAAAAAGAATGACAGCCATGGTTTCTTAAAACGTAAGACTGAGAAATTGTTGATGTTAAGTGTGACAGTGTACAGATGCTCATTTAGTTTTATACTCAATCTTTTTTTAAGGTCTTAGCATTTAATACTCCGAAAACCTACACATTTTCTAAACTACCATGAGCTCCTGAATGGTAAAGAGTAAACCTCAGTCTTGAAATGGTGAATTTTTTTAATCATGACAGCATTTTACCATGAAATTGAGTAACTTTTGGTAACACCTTCCATTTCTTTGTATGTTTGTAATAATGGACATTGTAAAACATAGGAAAGTTTTGGTTTGTACAGACTTTGAAAAATGTGTGTTAATAAAATTCATATTGACTCAGAAAAAAATAGAAATGCAGCTTAGAAGTCATCTAGGATAATCAAGCCTGTAATCATATTAGATATGTTTTCAGTGTTTAACAAATATATTTAAATAGACAGATGGTCTTCAAACACTTCAAAGACCTACAGAAGATGGCATTTAAGGTGTTTAATAAGCTATGGATTTTCTTTCCAGTGAGACATGTCTGCTCCTGACAGCACCAATTTACTTCAAAAGAAGATTATGGGCATCAAAGAACCTCCATATGGAGTTTGCTTTATTTACTGCAAAGGCTAGCCATTTGGGGAAAAAAAAAAACTGCCCTTGCTTTGACTACTGACAGTATTCTGCCCAAACTGGACCAGCAGGAACTTTGCCAAGACGAGGTAGGAGAGTTCTTCAAAAATTCTGCTTTATGAAAATGTCTGTCAGATACACTAGGTCTGTAGACCAAAGTTAGATGCCCCAATGTTACTGAGGAACTTTGAGTGAGTGTCCAGACAGTCAGATATCCCTGCCATTAGGTAGCATTACACCGGGTCTTTGATGGATTTAAAGACTAAATAATTAAACTTAAAGTTTTCCTTAGTTATGATAAAAGGTAAATTAGGTATAAAACTTTGGACTCACAAAGACAAGATATATAATAGAATATTTTCTCTAATTTTGCCAAATACAAATGAACTGGATATTATAACTATAATTCTTATTGATAACTGTTTTGTTATATATAGTTTTATTGTGTTAAAACCTTCCTTTTACTTTATTTTATTTTTTAAAAATTATTTTTCATTTTACATGACAACCCCAGTTCCCCCTCCCTCCCCTTCTCCCAGCCCCCTGCATCTCCCCTTGCCCCCATCCTATGCACATGGGGGTAAGGCCTTCCTTGGAGAGTCAACAAAGTCTAACATACTAAAAGCCTTCCTTTTTAATTAGACAAAAAGAGGGAAATGCTGTGAAAAATCCTTTTGTACACTGAAGATTTGTCACTAAGATCGGTTTAATAAAGGGCTAAATGGCCAACAGCTGGGCAGGTAGCAGTTAGGAGGACTTTCCGACAATAAAAAAGAGCATGGGGAAGAAAGAGGAAAGAGTCACCATCCAGACACAGAGGAAGCACACAGTAAGTATGCCATGTTGAAACAAGGTACTGTCACTGGGTAGAGCATAGATAAGAAATATGGGTTAATTTAAAATGCAAGATCTAGTTAGCAACAAGCCTAAGCTATTGGTCAAGCATTTATAATTAGTAATAAGTCTCTGTGTGGCTATTTGGGGAGCCAGCAGTCCCAACAAAAAACAGACCATCCCTTCCTAACTTTCCTCCCTGACTATTTCTATATCCCAGCCCCCAAATCCAGAAGGTACCTCCTGCTAAATCATAGGCCATGCATTCCAGAAACAGGTAGGCTACCTGCAGACCCTCTCTCTCTCTCTCTCTCTCTCTCTCTCTCTCTCTCTCTCTCTCTCTCTGTCTCTCTCTGTCTCTCTGTCTCTGTCTCTCCAACTGCAGCCTTCCCTCCCCCTACTCACATTTCCTGTAGATCCCACAGACATCCCCTCTTAACCTCCCTCCCCAAGACTCGTTACTTTTCCCAAGACCCCAACCCCACAAGTACCTTCTGCTAAACCAAGGGCTGCTCCTCCCAGGGCAACAAGTAGACTGAAAGCAGACCCACACCTCTCCTTCTACTCCTGAGATTTAATCCCCACAGTTTTATCCCCAAATACCAGCTGGAAATCTACTGTGGTCTCCTGTCATCTCTGGTCCCTTCCCTAAGGGAGTCACAAAGATTTCCCCCAACCTTTCTTCGCCTAACTCAGACCCAATATCCCAGACTCCAACACCAGAAGACATTCCCTATGAACACACCAGCTGAACAGGCCAGGAAAACAGGCAACACAAAACCATTACACTCTCCAAAACTCCAGGGAGAAAACAGAAACCAAGGAACAAAAAACCCACCAAACAAAGACAAATCCAAAAGTAGCCCTAGACCTATAATCATTCCAAACCCAGATGCCTCGATGCCAGCGTAAAAACACACAATAACAGCCAAAGCAATATATCTCCACTAAATCCTAGCTATCTTACCATACTAAGCCCTGAATATTCCATCATAGCCGAAACACACAAAGAAAAAAGACCTTAAAACCAACTGTATGAAGATGATAGAGGTCCTTAAAGAAGAAATTAATAAATCCCTTAAAACACACAGTTGAAAGAAATGAATAAAAAATTTCAATACCTGAAAATGTAAATAAAATCAATAAAGAAAATGGAGAGGGAATTCTGGAAAAGAAAAATTGAGGAATTTGAGCAGGAACTACTTCAGCAACAGAATACAAGAGATGAACATCCTTTAAATGTCTGTAAAGAATTGTATTGAAAACCACAAGGACACTTACTCAGCAATGTTAATAGCAGTGTTATTCAAAACAGCCAGAACCTGGAAACAACCCAGATGTCCCTCAACCAAAAAATGGATAAAGAAAATGTGGTACATTTGCACAATAGAGTATTACTCAGCTGTGAGAAACAATGACATCATGAAATTTGCAGGCAAATGGATGGAACCAGAAAAAAATCCTGAGTGAGGTAACCCAGATTCAGAAAGGCAAACACAGTATGTATTCATATTAGATATAAAGCAAAGGATAACCAAACTAAAACCCACAGCTCCAGAGAAGCTAGCTAACAAGGAGGACCCTAAGAGGGACACATGGAATGCCCTGGGAAGGGAAATTAGATGAGATCTCCTGGGTAATCTGAGGATGATGGGAAGCAATAAAGGGGAAGGGAGGGAGAATAAGAACATAAGGGATGGTCAAAGGGGGAGGGATGGAGGAGGAAAGCAATGAAAGTGGTATCTTAATAGAGAGAGCCACTATGGGGTTAGGGAAAAAACCTTGTGCTAGGGTAATTCCCAAGAATCCACAAGGATAACCCCAGCTAAGACTCTTTACAATA